AAGTTCCCAAGGCTCAGAAATCTGCTTTTTGACACAGGGCACAGCCGGTGGGAGCTGTTGATGAATGAGTATTCACGGGGAACCTCAGCTCTGTCTTCAAGGATCCTACCTTTTGTCTAATTGTCTCTCTTGGAAGAGTAAGACAGTAAATAAATTAGTCTGCTGTGACGTGAGCCTTAGAGCAAGTGTGGCATTCCCTTTGCTGTGCTTTTTTTGGTTTGGAAATGCAGAGCCCACGCGGAGCAGCAGGACTGATGGGTTTTACTGGGGCTTAAGTAGTCGCGTTGGTTTGGGGGGTGTCAGAACAGCATCATTTTGCTGGATGGACTAGCTGGGCTCGGAGTCAGCTTAGGGGTGTGTGCAGCAAATGAGGTGGTGTGGGGAGGCCGGGCAGCCGGAGGGGAAGGTATCGGGCTTGTGCACGGGTTTGCTCCGTTGGCGGCACGGGATGAAGTCATCCCGTGGTTTGGTTGTGAGGAAATGAAGCCCCGCTCCTGTGGGAAAAGGAGGTGAAGCGGGTGCAGTAAGAATAGTGGAAAAATGAAAAGCCATGTTGGAAGGGAGTTTGTCTCACTTCCAGGAGATTCTGCCAGCAGCCCAGTTCTTAGAAATCATTGAGGCTCGTGGCTGTGTGATATGTGCTACTTCAGTAATCTTGCAGCTTTCATTTGGCTTCTACAGAAAAACAAAGCAATTTTGGCGTTGGCTGATTGTCCTTCCTCGCTTCAGCCTGGGAGCTGTCCTGGTTGGGGCACTCTGCTCACTTTGCAGAGCACTGCTGTCACCAGGGGGGTGTCCACCCTCAACCAGCAATTTGTGTACGAGGGACGAGGTGAGCCGAGAGGTATTTTGTTACAGGGAAATTTGGTTAGAGGGACTGCTCTGCTGCGGGTGTGCCTGCGTGACTGCCCACTTTCCAGGAGACTCTTGGGCTCAGAATCAATACTGCGTATTTCAAAGGGGATGCTGTGCTTTTCCTCAGAAAAAAAAAATGAACAAACCGTGCTTTCAAAGTGTCCAAAGTAAAGAAAAGTAAATGCTAATTTGCTTTTCCTTGAATTCTGCAGCTCTCAAAGCTTTGGTAGTTGTAGGCTCTGACAGGGCTGGGCTGCTTGTTGCAGCCCGTGACTGATGCTGGAGGATCTGTAGAGTAGAGTTAGGCTGAGGACAGATTTACCCCAAGGGCCCCTTAAGGCTCCTTGTTAAAACATCCAGTGAAAGTCGTTGAGAAACTGGTAAGAGATGAAATTATGAGCTCCGAAACATCTATTCTGCAAGGAATTTGAGTGGGGTTCTCTCTGTGAGCAGCGTCCGGCTGTGCGGAGCCAGATCCATGGTCACCCTCCATGCGATGGAAGAGTCTTCGGGTCACAGGTCTTGAATCTGTCCTTGGGCAGGGGCAGAGATCAGAGCAGGTTGCTGTTGGTTTGCCTTTCCGCTGCCTCCATCGTGGCAAAGCACCTGCAAAGCTGTGCTGAGGAGGGAGAGAGATCATAAAACAATCTGATACCAATCGTATGATTTTATACGATAGCTCTCCTTACTCCGATTCCAACTGTATCAGAGGGTTTTTTCTGTTTGGTGTGAATTTCCAGGGGAGATCTCACGGCCTATATGCTCAGTTTGCAAAGACAGAGCAAATGCTGGTTTATAGTGTCTCCTCTCCTGGCTGATCCCCGCGGCAGCGCCGCCGCTGTTTGTGCTTGTAGGCTGTGTTTGTAAGATGACACAGCTGAAGTCACGAGGTTTTTAGTCTCTGCTTGTCCCTAATTCAGCTCTACAAGCCTGGAGGTTTGTCCTTGAATATTTTTGCCCATTCTCAAAAAACGGATTCCTGTGACTTAAATGCCATTTCATTCCTCCTCCTCCTCCTCCTCCTGCCCAGCCTTCGAGTGCTCTGAAAGCGAAGGGGACTATTAGCTCACTTCAACTGAAAAATCCGCCTCCGTTGCTATTGTTTGTGCCCTACGATGTTTGTCTCGATCCTGAATGCTTTGTGAACGTCCTGGTGGTGACTGCCTAGGCAGTGTCATGAGCAGTCTGCTGCTCACATTAATCACCAGCTGTGTAATGAGGCTTCTTATGTGCTTTGCTAATAGCTAAATCGCTGTCCTTATTTGAGCCTCTCCGGTTGCTCCTGTGATGTCCTGCCTCACTGCGTTATTTGGGAATAGACCTCCCCAAATTATTTGCCCCCAGCTCTGATTCCTGTGCATGCCAGTGTCCAGTCCTTGTTATCCTACAGTGCCTGTAGCTGGGGATTTTGAACTAATTCATGTGAAAGCTGCATTAGCAACAGGTGGATTCCTATTTATAGCTGTATCTTTACATGTTGCTAGTGACCTCACTCCAAAAATACTGAACTCACTGATGTGAGCTGCTTTTTGCTGCTGTTCCTGTCGTGTGCCTGAAAGCCTGGTTTTCTCCTGCCTTCTAGCTTCCCCAGATGCCTTCCAGCAGTCCCTGCCAAGAGTCTCCCAGCTCTGGCTGCCACAGCTTGGGCAAGTCCAAGAGAGCTCGTTCGGTGGCTTGTTTTCACTGCTAGCCAGCAAGAGGGTGATACAAGTAGTAGTGCAGGCAGCGTTCTGAAGGGCTCTCGTGTGGTGATCCAGCTATCTGCTGGCATGGTTGCCTCAGCCATTACTTTTTGCAGGAGCTGGAGTCAGCTGCTGTCTCCACTGTAATACACAAGCATTTGTCAGCCTGTAGTTTTTCTCTGGATGCGCATATTGAGTTGGTAGCTGTTGTCCTTTTGTTTCCCCCCTCCGGGCCTTTTCTGGTACCCGTGCCTCATTCCTCAGCTACTCGACGTGTGCCGTGGGCTGGGAAGGAGTGTTTCCTCAGCTGTTTTGACTGTGTTGTTCTGTTCTCTCTAGCAATCTGCAGAGCGCTGCGTGAGCACGCTGCTGGACCTCATCCAGACCAAGGTCAACTACGTGGTCCAGGAGGCCATCGTTGTCATCAGAGACATCTTCCGCAAGTACCCCAACAAGTAGGTGAAAGCAGCATGAGGATTTTGAAGCCCTTCTCTGCTGGCATCGCAATAGCGTGATGTGAAACTCCCTCAGTGTAGCTTCACCAGGGCTCTGAAGCAAAAGTGGCCATTTTCGTGAGAAGCAGCGTTCGCTCTGATTCTAGCTCCTGGTACAGTAGGGTTCAGATGTTGGCTCTAGGTGAAGTATCAGCCTGACACGTTATTAGTGTGAATTGAAAGCTTTTCCCTCCCTACCGCTTCATATTGATGCTGAGCGTAAGCCTTCGTCAGGAGGTAGTGAAGCTCTTGCAGAGAATGCCAGAAGGAGAATTTGGCCAAGTTGTGTACCAAGCATGAATGTTCATGGCTTTCACAGTCTGAGATCCCAGGCAGACTGTGCTGAGGAAAACGCTGCTGGCTTTCTCCATCGAGTGGTCTCTCTGGCTTGGGCAGCACTCAGCTTCTTTTAAGCTGTTTCTGCAGTAAGGTTTTGTCTCTTTGGCTACAGAACAGCAGCAATGTCTTTCAGCAGAGACTTCCTGATCAGCCAAAAAGTAATATGGGACAACTTCAGCCCTCTCTGGCAATTTCTGTTTTCAGGTACAAGCCACATTGCTCCTTATGACGGGGATACCCACGCGTGGGAGTAGGGGAAGCTAAATAATTAACGTGGGTATTGTCTGCTGTACGGCTGAGCCTTTGGGCAAATGTAATATCCAGTTTAGAGTTACCAGCCTGGAGACGCCAGTGAGGCTGCAGGATCTGATACAGACTCAGGGTTTGAAGTGTTGGATAAAATATTCCCTTTAGCAAAACCGAGAGGGAGGCAGCTTTGTCTTGAGGTGTGGTCTGGCCGATTAATGAAACTGCAAAGCTCTTGAGGACTAAGATCTGTGAGATCTTAGTGCTCAGCCTGGAAGAAGAAAAAGCCCAGCAATATCTTCTGTAGTTGAGTGAAATTGCTTCTTGTCGCAGTTGTAATTCACTGCGGGATTCTCTGGAGAAGGATGTGGGTAGAGATGGAGCAACACAAGTTACTCACCCCCGTAATCCACCTGTACTCTTGACAAATCAGGTATGAAAGCATCATTGCCACTCTGTGCGAGAACCTGGATTCCCTGGATGAGCCAGATGCCAGAGCTGCCATGATCTGGATAGTGGGCGAATATGCGGAAAGAATTGACAATGCAGATGAGCTGTTGGAGAGTTTTTTGGAGGGCTTCCATGATGAAAGCACTCAGGTAAAATTGCGTCGTCTGTAGTGTTTCATGCGGCGTGTGTATGGAACGGGTGGTAAATATTATCTCAGAAAATACCTCCCGGTAAAAGCTTCAACATTTGGCTTAAAATAAAACTCTTGGGAGTCTGCACGCTTGCCCTGTTGTCTGTATCTCCCAAACTTCTCTTCTTTGAAGGGTAAGATGGAACAGGAGGAGTTTCTAAGTGTTGCATACTTCTTGGAGAATAGCCCTACTTAGGGACAAGAACGTATGGAAGAACAGTGATGAGATGCATAAAAGTGGGACATAAATCTCGGTGTGCTGAGCAGAGACTTGTCTGCGAAAGCGCTTTGCAACAGACGAGCCTGAGTCTCCTTGTCTGGGGTTTCACTGGCAAAGAGTAGCATCAGGCTGGAGTTTCATATCAGTGAAGGGTGTTGAGACTTGGGAGACATCACTAAAGTGTGGATGAGTTTTCTAATCTCTGCTGGGGCCCTTTCTCTTAGGTGCAGCTCACCCTGCTCACGGCTATAGTGAAGCTGTTCTTAAAGAAGCCTTCGGACACACAGGAACTGGTTCAGCAGGTGCTAAGCC